AGCTATGAACAGTACAAGCAGAAAGGACGAGCTTGCAAAGGAACCCAAGATGGAAGCTTTGCGGTTCGGCTTACTTGATTGCGCAGATTCAGTTCTATCCAGCTCGAAAGTGTACTGTTTTGTTTGGTTGACTATAGTGTAGCAGGGCAGGCACTATAGGGGTACAATTTAGGTGAAGGTTGGATGTTGTTTGTCTGTATCTGCATGCTACAGGGCCAGGGGAAACCAGTGGAACCAGCATTTGGCTGGTTGGGCAAAGACAAAACAGGTTCTGTTTTTAGGACCTGAACCTGGTTGTTGTTTTCCTAGGTTGGAAAAACAGAACCAGAGGTTGTTTACCAACCTACCACCTGCTGTTTTGTCCAGCCAGGTTGGTTCTGTTGCTTCGAGTTATTTGGGATCATCCTTGGTTGTTCCCAGGTTTATTCCCAAGGTCCTTGCTAGCTAGAACTATATATTCTGTCTCTGTTTGTACCTGGATATAGTCAATTTGATTCAAGCGAATTCCTCCCTTCTTGGAATTTCGTTTCTACGCGGTGCGACGGCGGAATGCTACCCGAGTCAACGCTAGTACGCTAGCACTCCAACGCTAGGCAAACGCTGTCCGAGCCAAAACTTCGTAATGGCTGAACTTTTCGCGAGGCAACTTGGCTTATTTTAAAGCTCTTGGAGTGAGCTTCTATATAGGAAATTCTCAGCTTAATCCGGTTGACGGTCTGCACGATACGCTGCGCGACGTTCAAGGTACTCTTGCTGTTTTGACTAAGTCCCTCTTGATCCCTCTCTCTACAAACTCGGACCTGAGGATAGGGGCTGGTCTTGTACCAGGCACCCAAGGACCCTTGGAGGTGACCCCGAGGAGAGGTTTTAAGTGTGATAAAGTCTTAATAGCTTGAATTTATTAGGCCCTTACACCAACAAGCTCGAGCTCCCGGAGCACCACGGAGGTTGCGACAGTACCGAGAGTACCACTCATGCAGCTGCTAGGAAAAGAGAGCGCCCCCAGGCGCAGCACCGCCAGGCTCAGGACCTCCAGACCCTGCACCCCCAAGGACAGCACCCCGAGGCTCACAACCTGCAGTCTCCGCACCCCCAGGCTCAGCACCCCCTGTCTCCGCACCCCTAGGCTCAGCACCCCCAGTCACAATACCTCGAGACCCAGCACCACCAGGCTCAGCACGCTCAGTACCTCGCACAGGACCAGAGTCGACAGCTACCTTGACAGGCTCGACCGGGTCTACTTGGGAAACACCAGAGGGAGCAGGACCCTGGGGAGGCAGGGGGTCTACCAAGGCAGCACCTGGCGTGAGGAAGAGCGGCGGAGGGGGGAGCGGGGCAGTGCGGTAGGGGAAGAGACGGTAGAAGGGGACGGACTCGTCATACGTGACGTCCTGGGAGGACAGAACACGGCGCGAGGTGGGGTGGTAAAACTGCCAACCAGGCGCGTCAGGGGGGAAGCCAAGGAAGACGCAGGGAACAGCACGGGGGGACAGCTTGTCCGTAGAGAAGTCGCGGACAAAAGCCCGAGATCCCCAAACACGAAACGCAGACGCATTGCCAACCTTCCCCGTCCATCGCAGAGTAGGGGAGGTCTCCGGCAAGGAGACCCAGGGCTGAAGGTTGATCTGATGCTCCGCGTACTGAACCGCGAACGGCCACATAAAATGGGGAGCAGCCGCATGGATCATGGACTTACGAGCGACGTCCATGACCATGCCAATGCGGTGCTCAGCAATCCCATATTGCTGTGGAGAAGCCGGAAGCGTGAACGTCTGGCGGATGCCCTGTGCACGACAGAAGGCTCGCAGAAGGTCAGAGCAAAACTCTCCGCCTCGGTCGGAGTGTAGACGCAGAACAGGAAAATCCAAGCCAAAACTCTTTCTGAGCTGGAGACGAGCTGCGCGGATCCAGTCGATCAACACCTCAGTGACTTCACCCTTGCTGCGCAAGGGGAAGACCGTGGTGTAATGCGAGTAGTCGTCAACCACCAACATGAAGTAACGCTCGTGACCCTGTCCACGGACGCGGGCGGGGCCCCACACGTCCATGTGAAGCGTCTGCAGCGGAGCCTCTGTCGGAGGAAACTCGGAGGAGTGAGGAGCGGCGCGCTGCCACCCCTCGACGCAGGGAACGCAGGTGGGGGCAGGCCCCGGAGGAAGAGGAGGGAGGGACCGGGGGAGACCATAGACAAGGAAACGAGGGGCCATGCCTCCGAGACAAGGCAGGGAGGGGTGACCAAGGTGGTGGTGCCAGAGGAGAGTCTGGTGAGACAGGAGACAACACGAGCAGGAGGCACACTCAGGACCAGACCTGGACGCTGCAGCAAACACCTGACCCGACGCAGCAACCGGAGGAGACTCAGTAGTCAGTGTGTACAGGCTCGACCCCGGCTGACGGGTAAACGTGGCCAAGCATCTGCCACGCCAGGTTCAGCAGTAGTAGTAGAAAGAGCAGTAGCAGCAAGGGCAGCAGTAACAGCAGTGCCCACGAGTGGAAAGAAGGGCAGGAATACGACAGCGGCAATGGTGAGGCCGCTACAACCGCAGGGCGAGGGCTCCACGGCTGCTGAAGGGGCTGCTGCTCCAGGGGCCAGGGGCGGCTGCTGCAGGGGCGGCTGCTTCAGGGGCCAGGGGCGGCTGCAGCAGCTGCGGCTGCTCCAGGGGCCTGGGTGTCGCGGCGGGCAGGGGTGGCGGCGGCTGACACGGCAGTGGCGGCGGCGGCTGCTGTTGTCGGCGGCGGCGGCGGCTGCTGCTGTAGGCGGCGGCAGTTGCTGCGGCCGGGGCAGGGGCGGCGGCGGCGGACACGGCAGCGGTGGCGGCGGCTGCTGCTGACGGCGGCGGCGGTGGCTGCTGTCGGCGGCGGCGGCTGCTGCGGTTGGGGCAGGGGCGGCGGCGGCTAACACGGCAGCGGCGGCGGCGGCTGCTGCTGTCGGCGGTGGCGGCGGCTGCTGCTGTCCACGGCGGGGGGCTGCTGGTGTCGGCGGTGGCGGGGCGGCAGGGCCGTAAAGGGGCCGCGAGGGAAGGGGCCGCTAAGGGCGGCGAAGGGGCCGCGAGGATCCACGAAGGGGGCCGCGAGGGGCCACGAAGGCGCGGCGACGGAGCCGAGAAGGGTCCCCGAGGGGCCATGAAGGGGCCGCGAGGGGCCGCAAGGGGCCGCGAGGGGCCGCGAGTGGCCGTAAGAGGGCGTGACGGGCCGCTAAGGGTAGGGGACGCGACGGGAGGGCAGGCACACGGGGCGCGACTCGGGCAGGGGCGAAGCGCGCTCCGAGCAGGAAAGAAAGAAAAAAATCGATTTTCGGTGGGCCCTAGGAATCGTTCCCACTAGGGAACCTGCTCTATACCATGTGAAAGAACGTGGAATGAAATGCACTAGGAAACAGGTGGGTACAAGTAGGAAAACCTAAATGTGTTGTACCCCATATTATCTACCCCACTACAGCCTACACAGACTATAGCGTATAAGTTTGACAAAACGGGCCGCGCTGGCGGCTGGCGGGCTGCTCGTGCTAAAAACGTGGGGCCGCGCTCGGGCGGCTCGCCGGCTGCAAACGGGCAGCGTGAGAGAAAGAACGCGCGAGGGCGCACTAGCAGAGAGGCGCACGAGGGCGCTAAGATGGTGGGGGCGCACGAGGGCGCCTCTCGCGGAACGGTGGACCCTTAGGTAAGCGGTCCTAGGTTCCTAACCTAGGCTCGTAATACCATGTCAGAAAGGAGTGAGTTGCACTAGGAAAGTGGTGGTACAAGTAGGAAACCCTAAACTTACAGTACCCCATAATGACTACCCCACTACAGCCTAAACAAATTGTAGAGTATAAGTTTGACAGGGCGTGTTCCGGAAGGTTCGTTTTATCCCCTAAATCCTTGTAATTTCTGAGTATAAAAACGCCCTGTATTCAGTTTTAGTGACAAGTTTCGATTGAGAATTCGATCCCGTGACACTGTCAGAACATATAGGTTGTGCTTATTGTATAGGCTATAGTGGGGTAGCCCATAAGGGGTACAACCCAATTAGGGTTAGTACTTGTACTCAGTTCATTTATTCTCGTTTCTTCTCATGGTTTCAGAGCAGGTTCCCTAGTGGGAACGCTACCTAGGGCCTACCACGATTTATTTTTCCTGCCCGGAGCGCGCCTTAGACTAGACCGAGTCACACGCGCCCTGTGTGCCCTCCCTACCGTCGCGCCGCCCTTTGTGGCCCCTTGCGCTGCCTGTCGACCCCACGCGCCGCCCTAGCGGCCCCTCCTTGCGCCACCCGTCGACCCCGCGCGCCGCCTTAGCGGCTCCCTGCGCCGCCCGTCGACCCTGCGCGCCGCCCTAGTGGCGCCTTACGCCACCCGTCGACCCCGCGCGCCGCCCTTGCGGCCTCGCCGCCCTTACCTGCGGCCCCGCCGCCCTCACCTGCGGTCCCTGCCGCCCTTACCTGCGGTCCCCGCCGCCCTCAAATGCGGCCTCGCCGCCCTTACCTGCGGCCTCACCGCCCTCACTTGCGGTCCCCGCCGCCCTCAACTGCGGCCTCGCCACCCTTAACTGCGGCCTCGACGCCCTCACCTGCGGCCTCGCCCCCCTTACCTGCGGCCCACCCGCCTTCCCTGCGGCCCCGTCACCTGCTACAGCGCCGCCCGCCACCTGAGCCGCCCGGGCCGCCTCATCTCGCCGAGCAGCCGACCGCCGCGCCGCCCTGCAGCAGCACCCCCGAGCCGCCCAGCAGCTGAGCAGCCAAGCAACCGAGCCGCCCAGCAACCAAGCAGCCGAGCCGCCCTGCAGCCCAGCCGCCCAACAGCCAAGCCGCCCTGCAGCCGAGCCGCCCAGCAGCCGAGCCGCCCTGCAGCCGAGCCGCCCTGCAGCCGAGCTGCCCAGCAGCCGAGCCGCCGTGCAGCCGAGCCGCCGAGCCGCCAGGCCGCCCTACCTCCGAGCCGCCCAAGCAGCCCCGTCCGATCAGCACAATGCCTCTTTTCCTGCACTGCCATCACCCTACTATTGCACTACTAGTCTACTGTGGTCATGGCTACCCCTAGTGTCCTCGCTTTTGATGCTGAGGGTCGAGTCATTGACTTTGACGTCTGGGTAGGTGACCTGCAGCTGTTTTTACAGTGTGATAGGGCAGACGGTCTCTCACTCTTTGACCTCACCTCTGGCGCCTCTCCTTCCCCTGCTGCTGATGCCGACGCCACTGTTCGCTCCCAGTGGGCCATGCGCGACGCTGCTGCACGTCTTGCTGTGAGTCGCCACCTCCCTACCTCCGAGCGTGCGCACTTTAGTCAGTACAAGAGTGCTCAGACCTTGTACGACGCTGTAGTTGCGCGCTACTCCTCCCCTGCCACTACTGCACTGAGCCGTCTCATGCTACCGTACCTCTTCCCTGACCTTGCTGCCTTTCCCACAGTCGCTCACCTCATTACGCACCTTAGCACTAGTGACATTCGCTACCGCGCTGCCCTTCCCGCTGAGTTCTGCGCCAAGAATCCCCCCCCCTATGTACATCACCCTCTACTACATAGTCACCCGGCTCCCTGACACCCTTCGCTCGGTCAGGGACCACTTCCTCTCTGTTTGCCCCACCACCCTCACCGTTGACCTCCTCGAGGAGCGCCTCCTGGCAACAGAGAAGAGCATAGTCGCTGTAGGAGCCTCTCGTGGTGACCCTTGTGCCCCTATCTTTGAGGGGTGCTCCCCCTCTCCTCTCTTGCCCTCTGTTGCCTCTGCTGCTGCGGCCGATCTCGTTGGTCTTGAGTCGGTCGATGCGGCGTCTGCCCCTAGCGGGAGACGCCGCTCTGGCAAGGGCCAGGGGGGCAGGGGCAGTGGAGGGGCGAGCGGGGGCGGTGGAGGTGGAGGTGGAGGCGGCGGGGGGAGTGGGGGTGGTGGTGGGAGTGGTGGTGGGGATGGAGGTGTCGGTGGCGGCAGTGGAGGCGGCGGCGGCGGTGGCGGTGGGAGCGAAGGTGGTGGAGGTGGCGGCGGTGGAGGAGGCGGCGGAGGCGGCGGTAGAAGCGGAGGCGGCGGAGGCGGCGGGGGTGGCAGTGGAGCTGGTCGTGGATCTACACAGAGGAGTGGCTCCGGTGGTGGTCCGCGCCAGCAGCAGCAGCGCGGTCGTGAGACCCTGTCCCCTCAGCAGCTCTGTGAGTGGTACACTGCACACGTGGTGGGGGTTTTGGTCCGTGCACCTACGTCCTGCGCACCGGTGACCATGCGGGTGAGCAGTGTGGGGGTGCGCACTCCACCCAGCGCTGCTTTGGCCGCCTGACGGACACGTGGCGTCACCAGTTCCCAGAGGCCGCAAAGATCCCTCGCTGGGGCGAGCTGTCTAGGGCGGGTGTTGCCATCTATGATCTTGATTTTGATGCTATTCTTTCTGCCATGTATGCTATGTCTATTAGTGATGAGGGTGATTGTTACCGGTGTTTCCCGCCCGATCCGGGCATTGAGACTGCTGCTCTAGGTACTGGTGAGGCGGCTGCCCTAGGTGCTTGCGACGCTGCTGCTCTAGGTGCTAGTGCGTCTGCGTCCTCAGGTACTGGTGAGGCTGCTGCTCTAGGTGCGAGTGCGTTCGCGCCCACAGGTACTGGTAAGTCTGCGCTCTCAGGTACTACGTCGGCTTCGGCCTCCCTCACCTTCACCCTTGACGCTGGGGCTTCTCGCTCCTTCTTTCGGGACCGCACCACACTCACGCCGCTTATTTGGCCGGTTGCGGTGTCTCTCGCTGACCCCTCTGGGGGTCCTGTCCTGTCTCACTTCTCCACAGTCCTCCCGTGTCCGGCGGCTCCCTCTGGCACCCTCTCTGACTCGAACTTTCCTATTCTGCGTCTGCACTCTGACCAAGGCGGAGAGTTCTCCTCTGGCCTTCTGCGAGCCTACTGTCGCGCACGAGGAATCCGTCAAACCTTTACGCTTCCGGACTGCCCGCAGCAAAATGGGATTGCTGAGCGCCGCATTGGCATGGTCATGGACGTCGCTCGTACGTCTATGATGCATGCGGCTGCTCCCCATTTTCTGTGGCCGTTTGCGGTGAGGTACGCGGCGCATCAGATCAACCTACACCCCAAGGTCTCAAGGCTGGAGACCTCCCCAGCCTTGCTGTGGACGAGGAAGGTTGGCGATGCGTCGGCGTTACGGGTCTGGGGATCTCGGGCGTTTGTCCGCGACTTGTCTGCGGACAAGCTGTCCCCTTGTGCTGCTCCTTGCGTTTTCCTGGGGTTCCCCCTGGACGCGTCTGGGTGGCAGTTCTACAACCCTACCTCTCGCCGTGTTCTGTCCTCCCAGGACGTCACGTTTGACGAGTCGGTCCCCTACTACCGCCTCTTCCCCTACCGCACTCCGTCCCTCCCCCCGCCGCCGCTCTTCCTTGTACCAGGTCCCTCTCCGGTAGACCCCCTCCCCCCTCAGGGTCCGTCCCCTTCAGGTGTGTCCCAGGTAGACGCAATCGAGCATGTCGAGGTCACTGGTGACTCAGGTGCTGCTGAGGGTGCTGAGCCTGGGGGTGCTGACACTGGGGGTGCTGAGCCTGGGGGTGCTGAGCCTGGTGGTGCTGAGATTGGGGGTGCTGAGCCCAGGCGTGCTGAGCCTGGGGGTGCTGCGCCTGGGTTGCTGAGCCTGGGGGTGCTGAGCCTGGGGGTGCTGAGCTTGGAGGTGCTGCGCCTGGGGGTGCTGAGCCTGGGGGTGCTGAGCCAGGGGGTGCTGAGCCGGGGTGTGCTTAGCTTGGGGGTGCTGAGCTTGGAGGTGCTCCGCCTGGAGGTTCTCCGGGTGCTTCGTCTCTGCGGGAGCCGCTCTCTCCACGGGAGCTGCGCGAGTGGTTTGCCCGGCGCTGGAGTCGTGCTGCTGGTGCTGGAGGTTCCTCGGCTACTAAGGGTGCTGCTATCGCGGGTCCTGGGGGTGCTCGTGCTGGGAGTACTGGAGCTGCTGGGCCTGCAGGTTCGACTGGAGCTGGTGCTGCTGAGGGTGTTGGAGCTGAGACTACTGCTGGCGGTGATGCTGCGAGTACTCCTGGTACTGCTGGAGGTTCTGGCGCTGCTGGAGGTGCAGCTGGAGCGAGTGCTCCTGCTGGGGGTATTGGTGCTGTACCTGCAGTGTCTGGCGTCGCCGCGTGGCCTCGACCGTACTTCGTTCCACTCCTGCAGCAGGTTCTTGGTCTTCCACCTTCTACTGGTCCTCCTCTTTCTTTAGGGTGTCCACAGCCAGTCCCGTCGCAGTTACAGTTGCAGTCTACCTCCCCTTTGCCTGCTCCTTCTCCCTAGACTGGTCCTACTAGAGGTCTTACTGAGCGTCAAGAGTCTGCGTCACGCCCTGCGTTGCCTGTCCGTGCTGCTCGCGCTAGTGGTCGTGGTTCGCGTCCGCGTCCTCCTCCTGTCCCTGGCACGCACAAGATGTCTCTCCGTCCGTCCACTGCTCCTCTGCGTGCCCCTTTGCCTTCTCATCCTGAGTCCTCTGTTCCTGCTTTTGCCGACCCGGAGTCGGACTCTCTTCGTGCTGCCAGTCCTACTGTCACGCGTCTCCTGGCTATTGTCGTCACTGACCCTTCCTTCGAGTCCACTGCTGCGTCGGCCCTAGTTTCTGAGCTCGTCGACTTTGCTGCTCGCTGTTGCGTAGACTAGGCTGCTAGTCTTGTCGCTGAGTCTAAGTCTGTCTGTCCTCCGTCCGTCGGGGGTGAGTGTGCCCTTGGCACGGGCGTCCTTGAGGACAGGCAGGAGGAGTTCCAGTGCTTGGCAGCTGCTTCACCTCATCTCGTGTCCGTACTGCTTACCCCTGAGGGAGACCCGGATGCACTTGACATCTCGACTCCGCGCTCTTACGCGGAGGCGATAGAGGGTCCCTACTCCACTCAGTGGCAGGCAGCTATGGATGCAGAGATGGCTTCCTGGAAGTCCACAGGCACCTACGTTGACGCTGTCCCCCCTCCTGGGGCGAACATCGTCAATGGCATGTGGATCTTCAGGGTGAAGCGGCCGCCGGGTTCTCCGCCTGTCTTCAAGGCGCGTTACGTGGCTCGTGCCTTCAGTCAGCGGCAGGGAGTTCACTACTTTCAGACCTTCTCTCCCACCCCGAAGATGACCACTCTTCGGGTACTGCTGCACGTTGCTGCTCACCGTGACTACAAGCTGCACTCTCTCGACTTCAGCACAGCTTTCTTTCAGGGCAGCCTGCACGAGGAGATCTGGCTGCGCCACCCACCTGGCTTCACTGGGTCTTTCCCTCCTGATACCCCGTGGAGTCTCCGGCGTCCAGTCTACGGTCTCCGCCAGGCGGGACACACTGAGGACTACACTTGCGGCTCTTGGGTTTGCTCCTTCTACTGCCGACCCGTCGCTGTTTCTGTGCACCGACACCTCTGTGCCGCCGTTCTACATCCTCGTGTATGTTGACGACTTGGTCTTTACCACAGCTGACACTGCTGGACTCGCCCACGTGAAGTCCGAGCTGCAGAAAAGACACACGTGCACAGACCTGGGTGAAATGCGCAGCTACCTTGGCTTGCAGATCACCCGGGACAGAGCCCGCCACACCATTACCCTGACTCAGTCACACATAGTGCAGCAGGTCCTTCAGCGCTTCGGCTTCACGTACTCCTCGCCTCAGGCCACTCCTTTGCCTACTCGCCACTCGCTCTCAGCTCTGCCTTTGGATGAGTCCGTAGAGTCGAGTGGCCCGTATCCAGAGCTTGTTGGCTGCCTCATGTACCTGATGACCTGCACACGACCTGACCTTGCATACCCTCTTAGCATTCTCTCACGCTATGTTGCTCCTGGGAGACACCGACAAGAGCACATGGCTGCAGCGAAGAGGGTGTTGCGCTACTTGTGCAGTACGTCGAGCATGGGGCTAGTGCTTGGAGGGCGGAGTCCAGTGGTCCTCACTGTGCACGCGGACGCCTCTTGGGCTGACGACCAGGCTACGCAGCGGTCGTCACAGGGATACACCTTCAGCCTTGGTTCCGGCTCTGTTTTGAGGCGAGCTACTCGCTCGTCTTCTGTTCTCGGCTCCAGTTGTGAGGCTGAGATCTACGCCGGGGCCATGGCTGCACAGGAGCTTCGCTGGCTCACCTACCTGCTGACCGACCTTGGAGAGTCGCCTCGTTCTCCTCCAGTCCTGTACGTAGACAACAAGGCCATGCTGGCCTTGTGTCGAGAGCAGAGACTGGAGCACAAAACATAACACATTGCTCTTCGCTTCTTCCTTGCTCGTGAGCTACGGCGGCGTGGTCAGTTGCGGCTTCCGTACGTGGCCTCTGAGGCCAACACTGCTGATGTCTTCACCAAGGCACTTGCGCCTTGTGATCATCAGCGCTTCGGCACGCAGATGGGTCTTGTGCCTGTCTTGCCTCACTTGTTCACCTCTTGACCTTGCTTGTACTGTTGCATATATATACACCTGCTCCTGCTTGTCTAGTCATTTAAAGAGATGTACTCCTGCATGTGAATTGGCCTTGTGGCGTTGAACTTGTGCTCAGAATGTGTGGTGACTTTGTGATCCACCCAGAGCTTGCTTTGCTTTGCTTTGCTTGACTGGTCTTGTGACCCCTTGTTCTCCCCCACTTTGCCTATGGGGGTGTGTCAAAACATATAGCTTGTGCTTATTGTGTAGGCTATAGTGGGGTAGCCCATAAGGGGTACAACCCAATGAGAAAAGTAGAACGAGAATGAATGACTAAGGAATGGAAGTGATACAAATATGCAACCCTAGAAATATGTACCCCATATGGGCTACCCCACTATAGCCTATACAATATTATAATTTGACACACCCCCATAAGCAAAGTGGGGGAGAACTAGGGGTCACAAGACCAGTCAAGCAAAGCAGACAAAGCTTAGGGTGGATCACAACGTCACCACACAGTCCGAGCACAAGGTCAAGGCCACAAAACCAGTTCACATGCAGGAGTACACACACACATATATATATGTATATAAGGCTAAACAAGCAAGAGCAGGTATATATATATATATATATGTAAGAGTACAAGTAAGGTCAAGGGGTGAGCAAGTGAGGCAAAACAGGCACAAGATCCAGCTGCGCGGATCCAGTCGATCAACACCTCAGCGACATCACCCTTGCTGCGCAAGGGGAAGACTGTGGTGTAACGCAAGTAGTCGTCAACCACCAGCAGGAAGTAGCGCTCGTGACCCTGTCCACGGACGCGGGCCGGGACCCACAGGTCCATGTGAAGCGTCTGCAGCGGGGCCTCTGTCGGGGAAACTGAGAGGAGTGAGGGGCAGCTCGGAGCCGCCCCTCTACACAGGGGACACAGGAAGGACCAGGCCCCGGAGGAAGGGGAGGGAGGGATCGGGGAAGACTAGAGACAAGGACACGGGAAGCCATGCCTCGGAGACGGGGCAGAGAGGGGTGACCAAGACGGTGGTGCCAGAGGAGAGTCTCGTGAGACAGGAGGCGACACAAGCAGGGGGCAGACTCAGGACCAGACCTGGACGCTGCAGCAAACACCTGACCCGACGCAGCTACCTGACCAGACGCAGTGACTGGAGAAGACGTAGTGGTCAGTGTGTACAGGCTCGACCCCGGCCGACGTGTAAACGTGGCCAGGTGTCGGCCTATCCGAGCGTCCGTGCAGTGGGTCACCCGCTGACTCGCAGCAGTGAACTTGGTGAACCCCCGTATCCTGCAGGTCAGCACCACTCACCAAGTTCGTAGAGAACGAGGGGAGGTAAAGACCAGACAAGGTGCTAGAGGGGGCTGCCGAACACGGGAGGACAGTGGAGAAGTGAGAGAGGACAGGACCCCCAGAGGGGTCTGCCAGGGAGACTGCAACAGGCCGACCAAGCGGCGTGAGTGT